GTCATAAGAGTTTGTATTCGAATAAATATAGTATGTATGTACATCAGTAATGACAAATTATTTTTATTTGTGGTTTAAGAACATATTATTAATAATCTAAAATGTCTGTAAGTGATTGATCGCTAATACGCTGGACAGTTCAAGATCTTTTTTTATTATAAAAACTTTTATACACATTTATTTAAGAGATATGAATCTGTTCTATTTTTTGTTTTTGGTCCCCAATCAACAACTACAGTAACCCTCTTTTTCCTTGTTGATTATTTGATGATTAGGAACTGTGTTCAAATCATCCCTAGTTCTATTGAAAAATGTCGTAATTCAAAAGAAAATATTAAAAATTAGTTATGAAGTATTGGGAGTTCAGAACTTCTCATAAGGTACCTTTTATGTTAATGACAGTTCCTATTCACTTTTGTATATGTGTGAATGCGGGCTAGAGTCATCTGTTTCAAGAAGTACAACATTCAACTACTCATTTTTCTTCATATAGGTAATTGAATGTTGTTATATATACTTTAAAACATTTGGTAGTTTTTAATTTATAGAACAGAAGTGTCATCTACAAACTATTAATTCAAACTCAATAATTAAATGTAAGGAACATTCTTTTTTCAAGTCTTTTTTCAAACATATTTGTAAAGTCGGACAGTTCAGGATCGTTTTTTATTATAAAAACGTTTGTATACATTTGTTACTAAAGAGACATATGAATCTGTTTTATTTTTTTTTTGGGCTCCCAGTCACCAACTACAGTAATCGCACTTTTATATTATTGAATTATGGGTTATTTGGAACTGTATTTCTAATCGGTGTTAGTTCTATTGAAAAATGTCTAATATAATAAAAATTAGCTATGAAGTACTGGGAGATCAGAACTTTACAGAAAGTTCTCCTTAATGGCGGTTCCTATTCATTTCTGCATGTTTGTCTATAGGAGCTGAAGTCATCTATTTGCAAATCATGGTATTTAATTCGTCGTTCTTTCACAACATACATGTGAATTGGGTATAACTTAATTATCCGTTGTGTTTATAATGAATCCATTTTGATATATATTCGAAATAAAAGATTTTTTTAAAAAAATATTGCTGTGCTTGTTTGGCTTCATACATTCGTTTATTTTTGTTTTGAAAGAGTAATAATTAAGAACTGTCTTAAGTAACAATAAGGTAAGTTTGTGAATTAATGGATGACTGACTGATGATGAAATACATTTTTACAAAAGCTTTATTCGTTTTTCGATTACATGGCATTTAGAATGAATAGCAAGACAATAGTCGTAAGAGGTGAGAAGTGAGTGAAATATTTCTATGTACTGGTCTGTTTACAAATGTATTTTTACTGAAGAATCTTTGATTAAAAATCCATTTCTAATGTTTAAGCATATTTGTTTATTAAAAAACTGTTGTACATCAATTTTATTTATTTTTATTTAATCTGTTCTTGTGTATACAAAAGGCAGTACCTTCTTTTGAGTGTACTGGACTGCCACTTCGTGAGTCTTTAAATGATGGGTAAGGATTTTTTAAATATAATAATTTGGATATATTAAATATTAGTTTACGATAAACACAGAATTTAAAACATAACACATTTATAGTTTAAAAGAATCAATAGCATAAAATTTAATGTTTAGATTCTACCATTAGAAAGAACTATGAATTATTAAATTAATAATTCATTATTAATTATTATCATTAAATAAGATAATGTGGAAGATAGCGCAAATCTCCATGATACCGAAACCAGGGAAAAGCCTAGAAGACATCAAATCATATCGCCCAATAAGTCTACTTCCAATCCTGTCGAAAGTTATGGAAATCCTATTTCTAAAGCGCCTTACACCGATTATCCAACAAAACAGACTCATCCCTGACCATCAATTCGGCTTTCGCCAAAAACATAGCACAATAGAACAAATTCATAGACTTGTCGGACATATCCACAGTGCGATAGATGGTAAAAAGTATTGCACCGCGGCATTTATAGATATTTCACAAGCTTTTGATCGAGTATGGCATGAAGGCCTTCTTTTCAAACTAAAACTGAATCTACCCCTAAATTTTTTCATATTTATAAAATAATACCTCTCGGCAAGGCACTTTTTCATTAAGCATGGAAACGAAACTAAAGTAATTCATGATATAGGAGCAGGAGTACCTCAAGGTAGCATAATAGGACCAATGCTTTATCTTTTATATACTGCGGATCTTTCCCTTACCGATGAGAGTGTTATCGGTACATTTGCAGACGACACAGCTTTTTTATCAGTTGACAGTGACCCAATCCGTGCTTCCACCAAGCTTCAAACCTGCCTTAACAATGTTGCTCTCTGGATGAAAACCTGGCGTATCAAACCGAATGAATCAAAATCTGTACAGGTAACATTTACTACAAAACGTTCTACGTGCCCTCCTGTTTTAATAAACAATACTGAATTACCACAAGCTGTAGAAACAAAATACTTGGGCATACATCTGCATAGTAAGCTAAACTGGAAATCACACATATTCAAAAAGCGTAAGGCCCTGGGTCTTAAATTACGAAACTTATTCTGGTTCCTCAGCCGAAACTCCAAACTGTCACTCGACAATAAGCTGCTTATATACAAATCTGTACTAAAACCTATATGGAGTTATGGGGCCCAAATATGGGGTACTGTAGCAGACTCCAACCTGACAATTATCCAGCGTTTCCAATCTAAAACATTGCGAATGATCACAAATGCACCTTGGTATATAACGAATGAACAGCTACACAAACAATTACATGTTCCGACAATCAAGGAAGAAATAGCCAGTATTTTAAAGAATTACACTCATCGCATATATGGTATATGCACCCAAACCCGCTGGTTACACAACTGATGTCCCCTTTCAACACTTTTACAAGGCTGCGAAGGAAAACATCGAGAGATATTTTAGATATGTATTTATAGATCACACATTGTTATTTTAAATATATATAGATATGTCACTGGGCATAGTCCATACGTGTCTTTCTTTTTTTAGATCGTAATAATTATTATTACGATTTATAATTATATATATTACTTATTGTCATTCATACCTGACAGATTGTAATAAAATAAATGGATTCAAAAAAAAAATTATTATCATTAAACAATAGGTGTAGTATAAAGAAATCTACTGTTTTTGTATTAAATTGAAGGTTTATTTACCATAGTTAGAATATTTAGATTTAGGTTAAATATACGCCGTTTTGTTCAATAACTTGTTGCCATTTTAAAAGTAATTTCATTATATCTCTCTCATTGAAGTTCTTATCACTATTGTTAAGAAAACGAGATAATTGATTTCAGAAACCTCTCTTGGAGCAAATTTTTCACCAGAAAAATCGTTCGCGATGGACAGGAATAGATGGTTATCACTTGAGGTCAGGTCGGATGGATGCATAAAAACTTCAACCAAAAGCTGTCCGTTTCTGGGCCAGTCTGATTGTCCAGATGGTCGAATTATTGACAGCATAGTTCTGAGTTGAGTTTTGACATAGAAAAGCATACAAAAAACCTCCCTGGCCGTCAATACCGGCTTGGTCACCGTTTCAAGTAGATTGCTGGTATTCGACCACGACCGTAATCGGTCGAGATCCACTTTTCTACACCAGTCACCTACCCCTTTAAAGATAATTCGATTTTGTTACGATTTTGTTACAGCAGTGATTCGTAAATGGAACTTCAACACATGAGGTTTTTTTGCGTTAAATCATGTGGCACCCATACATGGAGCTTCTTTTTGTATACAGACTTATTCAAGTGATTGCAATCGGTTTATGGTGCAATTTTTAGCTCTTGAGCAACAGAAACGGTGCTTACATGACAGACTCCACAACACCAAATTTGTGAGACATCAGACGTAAACCACTTAATTGTTCACAAAAATCTGCTTCTCATAAGCTTTCAAGAATTTGTTGACAAAGAAGCAAGTACTTTTTCGATGCGCCTTCACTTTCTCCATTATGATTATGCTCCAGCTCACACTGTCGAAGAAACGAACAACTTAATTGCGTTCTCAAAATCCGAAGAAGATCGCCAAGGATCTATCGTCAATTGATAATTGGTTCTTTTGTAATCATGAAAATAAAGTCTAAAGGAACGGCTTTTAGTTTTTAGAGAAAGATATTCAATGAAAACACTTACAGAAATTACTTTAAAAGAGTGAAATATGTTAAAGACTAAATCTATAGAATAAATTTTTTATTTCTTTACGTTTTAATTATAAACACACTACTGTGAAATAATAAAATTATGCTATACAAAATAAATTCAATATCTGTTAAAAAATAACTCAATTCAATTTCTATTATAAAATAGTTTGTAAAAATGCTATGGCCTCTGACGCATTAGTGACTGATCATAAAAGTCTACACTGTCAAAAATAGGTATATTTTTTGCAATTCTAGTATTTGGTGCAATATCGCTAACTCTGACATCTTCGTCACAAATACTAGAAGACGAAATAGTGGACCAAGAGTGCTCATCCTCGTGTTTAACTCTAGTCGTCGGCTTCTTATCGGCTTCACATGGGCATTCGTATTCAGGATTGATTATAGCCAATTCCAGTCTATTTAATCTAAGTATTTTTTCACAGTCCTCCTCGTCAGGTAAAACCAACTCCAAATCATCACTTACACGACATTGTTTTAAAATCGACTTAACTTCTCTGCGGTCACATACGAACCGTTTAAAAGTTAAAGGTTGTTTTCTATTTACTATGAAACCAGTCTCGCGATTAAAAAATCCTTCACCAGCATCAATTGTATCATCAGGTAATATTTTTGCGTCTTCTGTTACTGTAAGTAAAGGGTTTGGTGCAACTGGTTGTGGACCATCAAGTAGTTCCCTGGGGTATAGGCGATTATTTCGAGTTAAATATTTCCAGTTACCAGTGATAATGTCATGCTTCCGAACATGGCAGTTGAAACGTAATCCATCTTCAAATTCCATTTGTTCAATCTTTATAAGGCGACCGAAATCAAATATTACCTTGAATTTCATTTTATAGGGAGCGGCAAGATAGTACTCACCAACACCGTGAAAGATACCCTTTCGAAAATGCCCTCGATAAGTACTTCCATCTGGAAACGTATAATAACCATAACCATCCATGTCATTGGTAGCGGTATTATAAATGCCTTGATAGTAACTGCCTGTAATGAAACCTTTGTTTTGTTCCATTTTGCTGGAGAATTGGTAAATTTCCGATATTTATAATAAATTAGATACAAAATATATATATCGATGAACGATTTGGATTCAAATGCTTTGCTAACTTTTAATAAAAAGTTAAAATTTTAACTTTTGTGTAATGATTTTTATAAGAAATAAATAAAATGAAATTCAGTGGTAATATGATATTATTTTTGTATTAATTCATTTTAAAAAAAAACTATGTTATAACAATTAATAATTATTAATGAGTTCCAGAAATTATTTATCGGAAAAGACGACGACATTTGACATTTGATCACATTATGGATGCATTTTTTTCTAAATAATTCATTGAATGACTTCAATAGTTCCATCTCTCAATTAGATATCTATTAGATATGAGATGTATTATTAAATGCGCACATAAATTGTAAATGTTTTGCTTAGAATATGTGAAGAACAATATGAAACAAAAGTTTAAGCTCTGTAATTGCCCATTACTGATATAAGCTATTAGTCCAGATATAAAATAAGGTTGACTTGGTAAACAAAAATGATATTTTTTTTTTCTAACCAATTTTCACATCATATTGTCACTGAATTACATTTCATTCAAATTCATATATTGTATTAATTGTTATTAAGAACATTGTATAAAAAATATGTATATGCCGATAACAAGCCGACAAGTAGAGCTAAACACGAGGATGAACACTCTTGGTCTACAATTTCGCCTTCTAGTATTTGTGATGAAGATGTTAGAATTAGTGATATTATGTCAAAATCTAAGTTTAGAGAATTCACCAAGATCACTTGTATTGATGAGTACCTTTTGACACTCGCTCGTAGGTATTTCACTCCACGACCTCCCTCCTGATGTCTCTTGTCCAGATATCCTCCCTCCCTGGTCACAAAGTATATCACTAGTTTCACCCCCGCTAACTAGCCGTAAACCCACCACTTTCATTATTATCCTTTCTTCGTAATTCATCCCCTTGCTTTCTGACTTAGATGAACCTAGTTCACTAGGTATAAAGTCTATCTACTTTCTCTCTCCACTCATTACTGGAATGAAGTTCCCACAATGCTGTGGGAATCTTCTCCATTCATTCCTAAGAGGTGGTTTTAGTGGGTTTAAGTCTCACACTATGGCTTTCGATGAAAAAAAAACTATCTTCTCTGGTCTCCGAGTCTAGAGACTTGTATTATTGATTGTTTATACACAAGTATTTAATTAATTTGTTCCCCTTCATGGCACAGTGTTGGTCATTTTTTACTAAAACATCAATATTTTAAAGTAACCGTGACGTCCGGAAATCTATATTCACCCTCAGCCGTCTCTATTGAAATCTGTTACTTATAGATATCTAAATGGAAATGTTGAAAATACAATTTCATTGATATGTTGGTTTCATTGCATTAACGATGACATATTTCAACAATATCTGAACGAGTCAGTATTTCAATATCTATCAACATATATATCAATGTATATATCAATATCAATATTTATATTTTGAGCCTTGGCAACACTGATTGTTGTCAGATGTCGTCTGACGTTTCCACACATACGAAAGTTTGACATTATTGAACATAACCTACCTTAGACTTTTTGCAAAAGAACGTTATTTGTGTTATTACAGTGATTATTTACAATGTAAATTGAGTGTTTGCAAAAAAATGAAATTAATGTGAGAACATTTTCGTGAGATGATTTATTATGTCTTTCTACGTGGGTTATCAAGACAAGAGTGTGTCGATCAACTTCCACATTTGGAGAAAAGCCGGAACGTAAACAGCAGTCGAGTGTATGGTTCTGTTTGGTTTCAAGATGAACCAAATCCAACAAAAAATACTAGCGTTCGTAGTACTTTAAAACAAATGATTTTGCTTTTTCGGGAAAACTGGTCATGTGATAACTATTCGTATACCATTATAGAAACGTAAAACGATCAATTTCGAATGGTATATAACCATTTGTTTACTGAAAGTCTTCAGTAAAATACGGAAAAAAAACAATCGCCGTCGGAATATTCTCCATCTCTATCAAGACAATGCAAGTGCTGACACAAGGTCTAAAAACCGCTATATAAACATTCAAAAAATCGAATTGATGGGTCATCCACCATACAGTCCTGATTTGGCACCCAATAACTTTTTCTTGTTCCCGAATGTGGTGTCAATTTTTGTAGGTGGAAGAAGCCGTTGTTGCATTTAAAAAGTCTGAAAAAGATTTGAAAAAATGCTTTGACAAATGGATCGAACGCATGCAAAAGTGTACGAGTATTAATCATTAAGCAGAATACGAGTACATATACCAACAACACGTTAGTATACTTTCATTATTAGGCTCGAAATATAAATAGTGATCCTAACCATATTTAAAAAATTGTTAACAACGTTTAATTTTTTTAATTTTTGTTTAATTAATTAGTGGTTTAATTATCAATGAGTAGTTGGTTTATTCATAGCATTCCTTTGGTTTATTTCAGATGAAGTTTACATCGGCCAGATATAACCCTCTCAATAACTTTTATGTGGGCACATATTCTCCAATTCTGCTTATTATAGGCATTTTGAAGACATTCGTAACGAATGTCAAATGTTAAAATGTTTATTTAATTATTTGTAACAATAATTAAATTTTAAGGGTCACATATATCACTTTACTTCTTTAGGGTCACATACGCACTAAAGTAGAAATTTAGGATTAAAAATTTCTGTTAACCAATAGAAATTTCAATTTTAAAATCATAATCCGTTATTGCCAGAATCCCAGATGTCTGAATAAATAACAAAAAAAGGATTATTTTAGTAGAGTTAACCCAAACGTTAGCAATATACATGGGTGCCTGCCAGTTTTTCTCTATTTATTAAATTTATACACAAAATCACTACATTTCATACCCCAGAGTAATATTAAACCCCTTTGACTCCTGTTGGCGTATCAAGTATTTGACAATAAGTTCCAGCTTATTTTTCTAGCGCATTTATATAACGTTTTAAAAAATCTATTTCCTCTTTATTAAAACCTTCCAAATCGGAAGAAGATTTCAAGTTACAATTACTTGTTGGCAATTCATTTTTAATCTCAACCTTTAATAAATAGCATTCCGCCGGGCTCTATTCGATAGTCCTGCTTATCTCCGTATTTCAAAAAGAAAGTACAATTATTAAGAATAAGAAATAAGTGAATCAAAACTTTCTACTGTGATCATTAAATCCAAACAAAAATATAATATATTATATGGTATGAATAATATATAATTTTTCATCTCAAGTATGGGCAGCTGTTACCACCGTTGGATGCTCTCCAATTGTTTCAATCGAACCTGGTGTTAAAGCTAATGCGATTTATTATCGGGAAAATATTTTGAAGGTTGCTTAAGAGCCATGGGCACGCTAACATTTCGGTCGAAGACCATGAACTTTCCAACAATACTCGCACCATCTCAAAAAATATCGGAAGCAAATACCTCATTTTTTAATCGTTTGAAGGCCATCGCATGGCAAAAGCTGGCCACATAGAACTTAGATGAATGGATTCTAAATTTCTCATTATTTCCACAAAAAAGTATAGTCGATTTAATAAGTAACACTTCAATCGTTGAACCCTTTATACAACTCCATATAACTAAAAGTTTGTACAGTACATAATTCACAATTCTATCATCTATTGATATAGATTCGGCTATATAAGAATCGCTTGGATGTATGATAATACGAAACTACAAACAATAATTTCAAGGTGCGAACTGAATCGGTGTGATTAAAATGCAATTTTTAGTAGCACACAAATTAGTTACTTAAAAGTGAAATATCTATAATTGTTGACTGGGTGACAAGAAAAAATATCACAGATTCATGTTTCCTTCAACCGTAAACCTGTTTGTTATAGAAATTTACTTAAAACTGTTTCACTTGACAGAGATCTGTAAAAGATTAATGTTTATTTACTTTCAATTTAAATACTAAGTTTGGATCGCAGCTTGACAATACATTTGTGCTTGTATATACGTTCTGTATCCACCCGAATACAAACTCTAGACTTAAATTTCCCAATTGAAACAATTAAAATACTATATGCGAAGTGTATTCAGTCCACAATATCTGAACTCCTGGTGTTCAACAGATGAAGATAATAACTGAGTTTTAATATTTAAAGGCGTGTCGCTGAATTATTTGAGTTATATGTGTGGACTAATGAACTTAAAAATCACAATTATTTTCAGTTAAACATATTCAAATATGAACATGTGGATTTGTATGTTTTCATATAAGGAGTACATACACAGAAATAGGATATATAGATCCACAAGATAAGACAAATTATCACAAAATATTTTTAATAAGAAATTTATTATTCCTAAAACCCTTTAGAATCATAGGATGTTCTTTTGTAGCAACAACAATATTAAAAATTAAATTATCAACTATCAATTTTCAACTTTTTTTTCTCCAAATATGTTACATACCTAAAGATCACGTACTGAATCTCAAAAAAACATTCTTTAATAAAAGTTAAATTGTCGACAGTGAATATATTTATTTGCAGTTATTGCTCATTTTTTATAATGATCGTTTAGTTTTGATTCTAAGTACTTGGTGTTCATAATTATAGTAGAATTATAGTAGATCTGTACGCACTAGAAGCCTGCCTATTTCACCAGCAATCAGTAATCTGTAGGCTAAGCATTAACTGTTAGTTTTTCTTGAATGACTGAATTCTGTTAGTAAGCACAGTAAACTTTAATATATTCCATGAAAAATGTTCACTATTCAGATTTACCTCTGCTATGTGTTCTGAGAACCTGTTATTACATCAGTTATCTTCTTATACAAACGTACTTATCCTCTTCTAATATTTAAGCATATGTGTATAGAGAGATTCATAAAATTAGAAACAGTTAGTTTGAAAATATATTACTAAATTCAATGATTTCTTACCAGGGATTCAGAATCATAAACAAGACGATCGAAATCAGAACCGAGAAACGATTGCAAAAAATATATATTCAACGTTGACAAATGGTTTTTTTATTGAAGAATTTTTATTGAAGAATCCATTTCTGATGGTAAAAACTGTTGTTCATGCACTTGATTCCTAATTTGTTGTTGTTGCTCTACCAGAGCTCTATTGATCGTTC